CCAGTTTGGGAAGTGGTCTTTCCCTCTTAAACTGGCAGGGGCACGCTGCCACCTAGCGCATTTCTCTGAGAACTGCAGGGTTTGCCTCTGCAGCAGGGCGGGAAGCTTTCCTGGGTTAGCTCTCAAACTATTAATAGTAGGGAATACTTTATAAGTGGGGGGAAAAAGTTAGAAACTGACAAAACAGGACTTCCAACTTTGCGGAAGCATTTTTATTTTATTTTTTATTATTATTTTTTAATTCTCACCTGAGGACATTTTTCCATTTATCTTCAGATAGAGCGGGGTTGGGGTGGGGGGGAACATCGATGTGAGAGAGACACATCGGCTGGTTGTCACCCACACAACCCCAACCGGGGCCGGGGAGAAGCTGCAACCGAGGTACGTGCCCTTAGCAGGAACCGAACCTGGGACACTCTTGTCTGTGGGCTGGTGCTCTAACCACTTAGCAAACTGGCCAGGGCTGCGGAAGCATTTTTATAAACAATTTGGAGAAGCATTACATAAGTGTGGTTTGTATGTTATCAGTTTTTTAAAAATATTTTTCTTTTATTGATTTTAGAGAGGAAGGGAGAGAGGGAGAGAGAAACATCGATGAGAGAGAACATCAACTGGCCGCCTCCTGCATGCCCCCACTGGGGATCTGCCCACAACCTGTGCATGTGCCCTGACTGGGAATTGAACTGGTGACCTTTTGGTGTATGTATCGAAGCTCAACCAGTGAGCTACACCAGCCAGGTTGATTACGTTAATTGTAGAATAACTTTTGGTTAAACAGAAAACTAAGAGACATCAGCATGACTCCCCAGGTGTCCTCCTCCTTCACGTAGCTCTAAATCCGGGGTTCTTTATTCCCTTTCAAGTTGCTCAAGGTCTAATGTATGTACAGGTCTGAGTACTAGTTGGGTGAATTCTGATGCCCCTACTCGCCCGTGCAGCGGCCTCTGTGAGGGTTCCACACACGGGCCCACGTGCTGACCCGTCTTGGCGGACCCGGCCCACTGGAATACAGGCACGGATGTGGAATCCTTCATGTCAGGCAGCCTTGGCTCAGCCTCAGGTTTCTGAGCCTTTTCTCCCCTACTGATGGGCATTCGACTTGTTTCCAGTTTGGGCCCATTATATGAATAAAGCTGCTATGAACAAGTCTTTGTAGACGGATGTTTTCATTTCTCTTGGAGGAAATACCCGAGAGGTGGAATTACCGGGTCATCAAGCGAGTGGTGGTTTGATGAGGCTAACACATGTTCCAAAGTGACTGTACCACTTTCGCTCCCTGCTAGGTGGAGCCTTATCCTGTCTTCTCCCAAGCCACCCTCTCTGTGGCCCCTGGTCATGCTGAGCCTGCAAACCTTGCTGCTTTCCCAGGGGTGCAGTGCCAAGCCCTGCCAGCAGAGGGCACTGGAGGGACACTGCAACAGGGAGGGGCCCTCTCCTGCTATTGCTGCTTTTCTGCCAGCAGGGGGCGGTGTCCTGTCTCTGCACCCCCAACACCAGCCTCTGCACTTCCTCCTCCACAGTCAGCCTTGAGGTATAGTTCTTCGTTCATTCAGGATACAAGTCCTCTGCCAGATCTGTTTTGTGAGCATTTTTTTTCATAGTCTATCTTGCCTATTCATTTTACTGTGGTAAAAACACAATTTACCATCTTAACCATTTTTTTTAATCCTCACCTGAGGATATTTTTCCATGTATCTTCAGATAGAATGGGAGGGAGGAAAAGAGGGTAGGGGAGAGAGAGAGAGAGAGAGAGAGAGAGAGAGAGAGAGAGAGAGAGAGAGAGAGACATTGATTGGTTGTCTCCTGCACAGTCGGGGACCAAACCTACAACCGAGGTACGTGCCCTTGACCAGAATTGAACCTGGGACTCTTCGGTCCTTGGGCCAACGCTCTTCTGCTGAGTCAAACCAGCCAGGGCCACTGTAGCCACTTTAGTGTTATGTATATTCACATTGTTGTTGGACAATCTCCAGAACATCTTGCACATCTGAAACTCTGTCCCAATAAAGAGCGCCTCCCTCTCCCCCTCCCCGGCCCCTGGCTCCCACATTGACTTTGAATATGCTAGGTCCTTCACAGACATAGAATCACACAGTAGCTGTCTGTCTGTCTTTCTGCAACTGCTATTTCACTCAGCAGTGTCCTCAAGGTTCATCCTTGCGTAGCATGTGACAGGCTCTTTGAGGCTGAACAATGTTCCATTGTGTGGACGTGCAGCACGTGTCTGTTATGCATTCATCCTTCAAGGACAGCGGGCGCGTCCACCCCGGCTGCCGTGGACAGGGCTGCTGCGAGCCCGGTGCGCAAACACGTCCTGGGACCCTCTTCCGGTTATTCAGGGTGCATCCCGGGAGTGGGGTTGCTGGTTGTAGGGTAGATCCACCTTCAGTTTTATCGAGGAACCTCCACTCTTTATCACAGAGGCTCACCAATTTATAATCCTGCCCACTATGTACACAGGGTTCCAATTTTCCACACCCTCTTCAACATGGTGTTTTCTGTTTTGTTTTTGTTTCTTTGGCTTTTGCTAGTAGCCAGCCTAACAGGTATGAGGTGACGTTATTTGGTGCTTTTGATTTGCATTTCTCTGATGGTTAGCAACATTGAGGACCCTTTCATATGCTTATTGAACTTTTTAAAACAATGTTTTTATTGATTTTTTAGAGGGAGAGAAACATCACTGTGAGACAGGAACATCAATCGGCTGCCTCCTACACGCCCCTCACTGGGGATGGAGCCTGCAACAGGGGCATGTGCCGGGGGAATCCAACAGGGACCTCTCAGTCCATGGGACGATGCTCAATCCACTGAGCCACACTGGCCGGACTGAATTTTTTTTTTTTTTTTAATATTTTTTATTGATTTTTAGAGACAGAGGAAGGGAGAGGGAGAGAGAGAGAGAGAGAGAGAGAGAGAGAGAGACATAAACAGGCTGCCTCCTGCATGCCCTCTATGGACATCTGTGTATAATCTTTGGAGAAATGCCCGCTTGAATCTTTTCCCAATTTTTTAGTTATTTGCACCTTTTTGTTGTTGTTGAGTGGTAGGAGCTCCTTACATATTTTGGGTAAGAACCCTTTATCAGCCCTGGCCGGTTTGGTTCAGCGGTTAGAGCGTCGGCCTGCGGTCCTGAGAGACCCGGGTTCAGTTCCGGCTAAGGGCACGTACCTCGGTTGCAGTTTGTCCCCGGCCCTGGTCGGTTGTGCGGGTGGCAGCCACTCGATGTGTCCCTTTCACATCGATGTTTCTCTCTCTCTCCCTGTTCCTCTCTCTCCCTCCCACTCTACCTGAACAAAAAATGGAAAAATGTCCTCAGGTGAGGATAAAAAAACAAAACAAAAACAAACAAAAAAACCCCTTTATCAGATCTGTGATTTGCAAATGTTTCCTGACTCCACAGGCTGCTCTTCCATGCAGTTGATTGTGTTCGACGCACAGAATTTTAAGCGGATGGAGTCCCATTTGCCTATTTTTGCTCATTTTGCCTGTGCTTTTGGTGCTACATTCAACAAATCATTGCCCAGCCCAAAGCCAGGAAACGTGGTTCAGAGAACACTGAAGGCGCAGGCAGCTGTGAGCGGAGATGCGGTTGGAAGGGAGCAGGAATCGGGTGGCAGCTTCCCGGAGACCAGCCGGCATCTGCAGAGATGGCAGTCATGCCCCGCCTGCCTCTTGCAGTCTGACAGCGAAACCTGGTAGGGCTCACACAGCCCTGGGAGGGAGGCCACTGTTAGGACAGCACCAGAGTCCTCCGTCTCCTGGGCTCAGGGACGGCCCCCCAAAGGGGGGATTGTGGCACGTGGGAAGGAGCTACCTGCCCCCAGCCAGGGGTCGGGGCCCAGGCTCAGGTCAGGACTCTTGGGGAGAAGCCGAGGGGCAGAGAGGGCAGACTGGGTTCCCAGGGGCCGGATGGTGTGCCCCTCACAGTCACAGGGTAGAAGTCCTGACCCCAGCACCTCCGAGTGCGACTGTATTCGGAGCTGAGGCCTTTGAAGAGGTGGTTAGGTTAAAATGGGGCTGTTAGCTAGGGTCCTAATGCAGGCTCACTGGTGACCGGATAAGAAGAGATTTGGACACAGACGCCAGGGATCACATGCAGAGGGAGAGCTGAGCAGGCACCAAGGACAGAGGCCCGGGGAGGAGACACAGCTGCGGCACCCTGACCTCCGACATCCGGCCTCCAGGACCGACGCTGCCCGGGGTGCGGCGCCCACCTGCCATGTCCAAGCAAACTAACCCAGATCTCCTGCCCCTCTGGACGGAATTCCCTCGCTCGAGTGTGGAAGAGACTTACTTTATTACCAGTATCAGAGTAATTTACATGGACTCAAAGTCAGACACGGAAGGGCCCTCTCCAGAGGCACACTGCTCTCCGGAGCAGGTGGGGATCCCCAGGGGGTGCCGGTGCGGCCTCGGGTTCTGGCGCCCAGGGAGGGAGGCAGAGTCCAAATCCGTGCGCACCGAGCCTGCGCTGCGCTTTCCTCGTGGGCTCTCGCCCTGGAGGTCCCCTCGGGCCCTTCTAGACAGGGTGCAGGGGCGGGCTGGGGTCTTCGTTCACTCCTGGCTGCCCCAAGGAGGGGACACCGAGGGTGGTCAGCAGCGCTGGTTCTGCTGGGGCACCGCACGGCCCTCCAACCCACTGTCTTTGCGCCTTTGTCACAGATATGCAAACACCCAAGGCCACTACCAGAGTCGGAACTGGGGTCAAACAGGGAGGCTCAGTCCCCGCCCCGCCTTGGCAGGCCCCGCCCCCAGATTTCCCCTCCCCGAAGCGGCCTTGCTACCTCCCCTTACCCTCAGGGCAGACCCAGCTCCACGCGTGTCCCCAGAGGCACTGCCCCCAGGAGGGTGCATCGCGGCCCCCCAACAGGACCCGCCCCTCTCCGAGCAGGCCCCGCCCGCCCCGGGCTTTCCTGGGCCCTCTCCTCCGCCTCCCCTCAGTCCGGTTCCCGAGGTCCCCTGGGGTCTCCCGCAGTGACCCCGTGGTCCCCTGGCCCGGCATGGCGCGCGCGGTGGGGCCCGAGCGGCGGCTCCTGGCCATCTACACCGGGGGCACCATCGGGATGCGGAGCCAGCACGGCGGTGAGTGCGCGACCCGCGGGAGGGTGGCCCCGGGGTCGGGGTGGGATGCGGTGGTCCTGTGCCTTTCGGCCTCCCCGGGGGCCCCGGCGTGAAAGGGCCCTCTCTGCTCAGATGCCTGCACCGGAGGGCAAGGATGAGGGGCGCATCAGTGGTGCACGCCCTCGGGGCGGCCCCTAGATCCCTGGGATGTGGTTCCCGGAGACCGGTCGCACCCCTTCCCCGAGGAGAAGCCTCCCTAGGACCACTGAGCGGCTGTAATGGGACCTCCCCAGCCATTCCCCGCCTGACTAAGCGCCTGGGCCCCTGGCCCCGAGGGCTCTGACACCTGCCGAGACATGTACAGGTGGCTTTGGGACTTGTGACATTTTGTTTTCTCTGCCTCTGTGGCACTGGCCTGATTAGAGTCAGCAAGGACTGACTACTCGGTATGGGAGTGAGGCTACAGGCCAGGGCACCCAGTCCATAGGTCGCTGGGGCAGGGGTGCTGCCTTCAGGGAGGGACCCAGGCTGGGTGGCCTGGAGCCCAGCAGGGGTGGGCAGAGCCTCCAGAATGCCGGGCTGTCTCAGGCTCCTTCCTCTGGGCTTTGTGATGGGGGTGCCCCTCCCCAGGCGGGCCAGGGCAAACCCTCAGCCGCCTTCCTGAACCTCTTTCCCACTCTTCTGCTGTCCACACATTGACTGTCCCTGAGGGGTCCCGTTCCCATGGGCACTGGTCCTTCTCCGCCACCTTCTTCCTCCCCAGGGTTCCTCCCAGCTACCCCAGGTGCCTGTCACACCCGGGGCATCCGACCACTCGGACCCGCTCCCAGCAGCCCTTCCAGGGGCTTTGCCACAGCCTCCGCCCTGCCTCAGAACTAAGCTCCTGCCCCCACCCCACTCCGGAAGCTAACAGACACTCTCCTGTGCCCTTGCCAGTCCTTGGGCCACTTCCTGCCCCTTCCTCCCTCCTTCCCAACCCCTGACCACTGAGCAGCTACTCACATGCCCTCTGCCCTCCAACAGCTGCTTCTTGGCCCTCGGTCCCTGTTAGTCCATCAGCCACACCCAATGGTCAGTTCACAGACACTCTTGAGGCCTGCAGTGTGCTGGGCCCCAGGTCTCAGGCCTGTGTAGAGCCCTGTCCTGGAAGACCTCAGATACCTGGAGCAGGGTTGTCCACACCCCGGCCGATGGCTCCCCCTGGGCAGCCACAGACGTCTCCGATCTGGGCAGCTCGCTGGCTGCTGCATGCACACAGGGCCTGTGGTCTGTCCTGGGGTCTGTGGTGGGGTCTGGTCCCTCAGCTTGGATCTCGTAGGGGGCCAACCTTAAACCAGCAGCTGCCAACCTTGAACCAAGGCAGCCTGCTGGGGGCCACATGGCTGTGAGCACCTGACTTGCTGGCCCTGAGCCTGGGTCTGGGAGGGCTGGGGGCAGAGGGCAACTGCTACCTCTAGGCTGGCCTGCCCACTCCGTCTGGGGCTCGGTCCATTCTGTCTGCCCTGCAGTTCTGTTGAGCTCAGCACATTATCCCCAGGGACCAGGTGACAGGGACAAGATGGACGCTGGCGTTGTGTCCCCATCTTGCCGCCCACTAGTCCCACCTGACTCCACAGCCCCGCCCACACTCAGCCCCAACCATCTCCACAGCCCCGCCCAGTACGCGCAGCCCCGCCCACACTGCAGCCCCAATCATCTCCACAGCCCCTCCCAGTACGCGCAGCCCCGTCTACACCATGTGGCTCTATGTTTCCCTAAGAGGCTTCGAAGGTCACATATCTGGAAGGTGAACCAGAGGCCTTAGCACAAGAAAATGGGGCCCATGGGGCAGAGTTTCAGGCCCCTCAGAGCCTGCTCTGGCTGCTGGGTTGTCAGGCCCGGGAGCCAACCTCACCCTGGGGAGGCAGGGGACCGGAGGGGACGCCAGTCTCCTGAGCCCTGGGGTCTCAGAGGGCACTCTCATCCTGGGGCAGGGCTCGTTGTCCTCTGGAATCCGGCAGCGCCTTCCAGAAGGAACTAGCCACTCCGCCTGACCCCGCTGTCGGACCCATCCCCACTCAGGAAGGCTTTAGGAAGCCCAGGGGTTAAGACCCAGGGACGAAGGAGGAAGACACCAGAGACCTGGTCCCTGAGCCCCCCAGGAAGAGGAGCAGCTGGGAACCCAGGTGCAGGGCTGTGTGGCCCCTGACCCTGAGGGACACTGGGGAGGTCCTCAGGCCTGCTGAGGTGTGTCTGGTGCTCAGTCTTCAGGGACACGCAGGCTGTGTTCACCCTTTCTTGCCTTCGGAGAGGAGGGCAGCGCCTAGGCCAGGGAAGGAGCGAGGCGGGGACTCAGGACCAGGCCTGGGGGCCTCAGGGAAGCTCCTGCCCTTTGAGCTCAGTGGTGGGGGTTGATGAACTTGGGACTGCAGGCCCCATCTGCCCTGGGGTTCCCATCAGGATGGTGTCGATGTCAATGATTAACTGACCTGGCACCGCTGACGTGTGCGGGGCCCTCAAGTGGGCAGTTGAGGGGCAGTGAGGGAAGTGGGCCTGGCCACAGCAAAGCTGTTTGGATTGTCACCACTGAGAGCATTTCTGCGCCTGCTGGTAAACAGTGGCCTGCAGGGCACACAGCCCCATGTCCAAGCCCTGCCAAAGGTCAGGACAGCGAGGGGAGGGCAGGGAAGGTGGCAGCTGGGGACACCCCTTGGCTTACTCCTTTCCTGAGTTCATCAAAGATGTCACAGGTCAAGGGGCATCATGAATCCCAAAACAGCCAGTACCCTAGCGGCAGGCTGGCAGCATCAGAGGCCAGGGAACCCAGACTTCAGCCCCACCGGCCTCAGGCTGAGCAGAGCTTCTGGGCCAGGCAGCCCAAGGTGCCAGGCGGCCTGGGAGGCAGCTGCAGGGCCTGGCAGCCAACGGTTGTCACCGAAATGTGGTGTCTGTGTCCCGGGCCCAGACCTTCTTGAACATGGTCCCGCATGCTCACAGTCCCCGTGTTTATGGTCTCAGCTCCAAGTGGTTCCAGGGGACCTGGTGTCCTAGAGGCTAACTGTCCCTTACAGAGGAGTGTGTCTGAGAACTTGGGTTCCTGCAGGGACGAGGCCCAGGCAGGGTGGGCTCTGGATTTGCAGGGCCTGATGCCTGGGCAGCCTTTGTTAAGAAAAATAATACAATTTACAAAATCAGACATAGGTGTGAAAAATGGGTATTGATTTAGAATGATGAGGGAAATCACATATAGCCAAGACTATCACAACACCCAGAAAAAAAAAAAAATTGTTTTGTTTGTTTAATCCTCACCCGAGGATATTTTTTTCCTTTGGTTTTTATTATTAATTAATTGATTAATTAATTTATGTATTCTTTATTGATTTGAGAGAAAGAGAGGAACGGAGAGGGAGAGAGAATTAGACACATCGATGAGAGAGAACTTCGATTGGTCACTAAAAGGTCTGAGCAGGCGGGAGGTCACATCCACAATGCAAGGCCAATGCAGAGCAAAATGGCTTTATCGTATGCGCCTGGGTGCAGGCGGGCTGAGCCGAGAAGGGGTCAGCCTCGAATCAGGATTGGGGTGTCGGTTATATACCCTACTTTTAGCTTCCGACAGTTCCTGCTGATGTACTTTGTCTGGCCCATTGTCCACTTTGCAGTAGGACTGGTCTGGTATCTCGTCTGGTATCTGCCGGGTGATCCATTGCCTTGCGGACAATCCAGATAGTCCTTATCCGCACTCAACAGAAGGCTGAGCAAAGGTCCTGCAAGCAACACAATTTCCACAGTTTCTGCCTTTTGCGAACTTTTACCTTTACCCTTTAAAACCTCACTAGCCCTTTTATTCCCACCTGATAATGGTGATAAAACGGAAAAAGGGGTGAAGTTTCTCTTTGTGTACTTCCTGCAGGTGTGGGGTGGTCATAGACCCCTTAAAAGAATTTGTTAGATAACTTGAGGAACGAGGTGACAGGGTCCTTTTACCTGTGCTAGAACAACTGTCCAACTGTCTGGCTGACTAAACTTTGCAGTCGAATTTGTACAAACCTAGTAATCAGACGCAAGAGGCAGGGTCCAACCATCAATAGTAAGAAGGCTACTACTAGGGGCCCCATGAAGGGGAGTAGCCAGGTTAGGTTAGGTTAGGCAAGGCTGCCTCTATACTTGTCCAGGTAGACTGGGCTGGGTGATCCTGACTGAATTCCTTTAGCCACTAGGAATTATCTAGAATTCATTGTGTCCTCTCCCCGACCTGGCCAGTTGAGTTAACATAGAAGCTACAAGATGTATTTGCTATCATGCATAGACCTCCTTCTCTGACCAGTAAATAGTCTAGTGCAGTGTGATTATCTGTTACCATGCAGGCAAGAGAGTCAAGGGATTTTGAAAGAAGCTTGACATTTTCACCTGTATCTCTACCTATATTTGCCATGGTGGCGGGTACGTTTTTTGCTGTCATGGCATCATAAGTAATTCCTCCCACGAGGCCACAGTGGTGATTGCAGCTCTGACTTCTGCTGTGAGGAGTCCGGCTCCCCTTTTTGCCCTATGATGGCTTCTGGGCTCAGGGCTTGATGAGGTTGAATTAGGGATGAAGGAGTGGATTAAGGTATTGGCGGGGGTGACATATCCTTCTGCCCATAAGCCACCCTGTTTTTCTGGGTTTAGGCATTGAATAGCAATTCCTCTCCTAGGGGCAGAAATGTCTAGTGCGCCTAAAAACATCATTCCTGTTGGTACGCAAAGCAGTCCAGTCCCATTTGGGCCTAGGGAGGTGTTTGATAGACCCACAGTAAGGCTTGAATGATTAAACCATGATGGGGGGGGGGGGCTAGTGCCACCAGCAGAACTGTACCCTGGATGGTGACCAATTTCCCTGGTATGATTTTTGGGTATTGCATCAAGTCCCTCTGCTCTCGCACGTACAAACTCCCATTGCAGGGCTAGACACATCGTGAGCAGTTAGATTGCAGGTACCCCTCGTGAGGTTACAGCGAGAGATATTATATGCGGTGCCCACTGTCACGGTCTGTATTCGTACTGAGAATCAAGATCAAGGGAGCCTTTGCCCTTCTGCTCCAGGGGAGGCTTCTGTCCTCCCTGAGATCGCCTTAGGACACCTGCATTGCCGAGTGACAGGTGTGCTATTCCAGTCAAGCTCCCCACCTGGCACCGTCCCTAGGGGAGTGGGTCGCCAGAGCCCCTGGGGCTCCCCCCTCCTCCGCACCCCCTCACCAAGTAGTGGTGTTTCACTGCAGGCCGCGGCCCATGCCCTGCCTCGCCCTACCGCCTCGAGGGGACGGATTATTTCAGACAGCTTTTCATAGTTAACGGCCTTGTGTGAGGCTTTTTAAAGTCCCTCAATGAGACATATTACCATGTGGTCTCTGACTTTTCTACCTGCCTCATTGTCCTGATAGTTCCACCTGGGGTCCTGGCCAGGGACTGCTTCGGGCCTACCGGGCAGTGGGGGCCTGTCGGCTCAGATTATCAGCATGGCCCTGGGCACCAACCCAAGACTCGGTTTTTATCTTCCGGATTAAGGGTGGAAGAGAGAATAACATGAATATCCTTCCAGGTTAGATCATAGGACTGGGTAGGGTACTCAAATTCCCGAGTATAATTGGTGGGGTCCTCAGTAAAGGATCCTAGTCTTTTATTTATTTGGGACAAGTCTGAGAGAGAGAAGGGGACATGACCTCTGACAATCCCTTCAGTTCCCGCCACTTCCCTCGGGGGCCATTCAGGTAGGGGACCGATAGGGATCGCGTGTGAGAGACGGAGCTGGAGTAGGAGGTGCCGGTAGGGTGGGGCGGGGGCCCACAGAGGAGGCTGGAGGAGGAGGCCCTGCCAGGGGGCTGAGGGAGGAGGTGGTGGAGGGAGATCGCTGGGTCGAAGCAGGAAACAGGAGCGAGGTCCGAGGTCCGGAGGGTTAGAGTGCGGCAGGAAGATTTGGGAGGAGGAGCAAGAATCACATAAAGAGGGGTGTGATCTGAGCGCAAAGGGGCCCGGATGTGAGGATCCTCAGACCATTTTCCTCGCCTTCGACAGAAATTGTCTAGGTCGGGGAGAATGTCGAAGGTGCCGTTCTCAGGCTCCGGGGACCCATGGTCTCATTTGTACTGCGGTCGCTCAGTGTTGCAGTAAAAAATGAGTCGCTTGGGACGTAAGTCCTGAGCCTGCCCTAGGGTCTGTAGGTGTTTTAGGAGACAGCCTAGGGGTGTTGTCCCATGCCGCGGTGTGAGATGTGGTGGCCTAGCGGTCTGACAGATACACTAGAGGAAGAAGGAGGCGTCCCCGCTCCTCCCCTAGAGCAGAGAGACGTGCAACTCACCTCTGCCAGGCGTCCCTAGGTGTATGGTGACTGAGGGAGCCTGTCCCGAGGAGCGTGTCCCGACCAGCGCTGGATTTCGAGAGGAACGATCACACAGACGTGATCGAGAGACCTGGCTCTCATGTCCCAGACGGGGGATAACAGGACAGCTGGAGAACCAGACCAGTAGGCAAAAAAACACTCACCCGTGAGTTAGTGTCCGGTGTTGGTGCAGGATGGGCAGGAAAGTAGGAGGTCCGGTATCCGGCTGAGGATGTGACCGATCCCAGTCCGACAGGAGGCCCGGAGGACTTCGGGGTCCCGCGGTTGCCCCCTACGTGGGATCCTCACAGACATCCCGGGTTTCGGGACCAGATAAAAGGTCTGAGCCGGCGGGAGGTCACATCCACAATGCAAGGCCAATGCAGAGCAAAAGGGCTTTATTGTATGCGCCCGGGTGCAGGCGGGCTGAGCCGAGAAGGGGTCAGCCTCGAATCAGGGTTGGGGTGTCAGTTATATACCCTACTTTTAGCTTCCGGCAGTTCCTGCTGATGTACTTTGTCTGGCCCATTGTCCACTTTGCAGTAGGACTGGTCTGGTATCTCGTCTGGTATCTGCCGGGTGATCCATTGCCTTGCGGACGATCCAGATAGTCCTTATCCGCACTCAACAGAAGGCTGAGCAAAGGTCCTGCAAGCAACACAATTTCCACAGTTTCCACCTTTTGGGGACTTTTACCTTTACCCTTTAAAACATCACTGACCCTTTCCAGTGAGCGACAATTGAATGTGCAACGTCCTGATTTTCACATATGGGAAGGAAATAGGCCATGGTCTGAGCAGACTTTAATTTTTGTTCCAACTTCTGTCCTTGGATCTTGCTGAGGGAATCTTAATGACTAGCTATTGTAGCCACAGGAGAGCTTTCTAAGAGAAACGTTTCTTTGTTTCCAACTTAGAAGATTTTCCAGTTAAAAGGGTGCATTGTCAGGCCTGGACGGTAGGTTCTGTTGCGACGCAAACCAACGTGCCTTTATGGGAAGCGAGAGAGTGGACAGAGCAAAGCCTTTGTTTCCAGGAATACGGATCAACAAAGGTTGAGATGACAAAGGCCCCTTATGGGCTTCAGCCCCTCGTGACACACAGTGTCCTGGGAGCTGGTCAGACAGAGCCAGGCTGGATCCGCCGTCTATTCCACTGGCCACCAGTGCACCCTGGTGAGTGCACCTTCCAGGTGGCGGCACTGCCCTGTCCTGCGGCCAAGCGGTCAGGACCATACCAAGAGGACACTGACGCACCCTTTGGTGGGCGAGGGGAGCTGCAGGGCAGGGGGGCCTTGGGGGCTGGCTACCGAGGGCCTGAGCGCTGGGCTGAGGGCTGGGGGCCTGAGCTGAGTTGCTGAGCCCCAGGGAAGGAGAGAGCCTGGCCCCTAGCCTGGGGAAGACGGGGCGAGGTCAGACGCATTCAGGCTCCTAAAGGCAGTGAGGTCAGACGGAGCTGCCGGCTTTGAAGACAGAGCCAGGGGCCAGGCCTGGAGGACGACCGGAGAAGCCCAGAGTGGTGGAGGTGCACAGGCAGCAAGGACAGTGGTCTCCAGGGGCACTGCCTCTGTCAATAGCTGCGTGAGCCGGGCCACGCTGCCCCCTGCCCCCAGAGGGCGGTGCTGATGATTTAAGCTGCCCAATTTAGGTACTTGGTCACATAGCAGAGGGGACTGACACACCCCGCAGATCCCAAGGCTGGGAGCAGGCCCGGTCCTGAAGGTCTTACGTGTTTCAGCCCAGGCTGGGGGGGCTCGTTGTCTTCACTGCTGTGTCCGGGTGCCCAGCACAGCCAGGCCCAAGGGAGGTGCCCGGCGGAACCTCGGTGAGGGGTGACTGCCCAGAGAAGTCAGCCGCCTGCCCAAGGTCATGTGCTTGTAGGGAGCAATGTGGGACAGAAGGCCGGTGTTGGGGAGTCATTTGTTTCCAGGAGACACACCTGTGACTTTTGAGGGTTTGCTTAGAACACAGCACCAGGTCTGCCAGGGCCTCCGTAGAGGCATGCTTCTGGGACATGGGGCCTGGCCTGGACCCCAGAGGGGTCACACACAGTCCAGCGAGAGAACCAGGGTTTTGGAGGGCATGTGGGAAGGGCACCAGGGCCTGGACATCAAGGAGGGCTTCCTGGAGGTGGTGCCCTGAGCTGGGGCGAAGAACCTGAGAGGTCAGAAAAGGGCAGGGGCAGAGGACTTCCTGGCAGAGCCAACAGTGTGTCTGTGGGTGTGGGAGGAGAAGAGCGGCATGTGAAAAAAAGACCGAGATGGCCAAGGCCCTGAGCCTCAGTTGGGCTCACCTGGAGAGGGGGTCCTGTGGCAGCTGCAGGCCCGGCCTCTGACTTCCCTGAGGGCCAGCGCTCACCTGGGCCAGCCCTGGTCCCTGCCCCGCCCAGGCCTGGCCCCCACACAGAAGAGGGCCAGTGGCCGTGGGAGCTGGTGGTGGCAGCCAGCCCCTGACACCCGCCCCTCTGCCTGCAGTGCTGGTCCCCGGGAGGGGCCTGGCCGCTGTCTTGAGGACACTGCCCATGTTCCATGATGAGGAGCACGCGCGGGCCTGTGGCCTTCCAGAGGACACCCTGGTGCTGCCGTGAGTGTGGGCTCGCTCGGGGTCTCGGGCAGGGGCGACAGCCCGCTGTCCTGGGGGAGGGCCATCAAGCTGGCTGTGGTCTCAGGGATTCCAGGCCAGCCATTTGTAAGAGGTCATCACCAATATCCATTTCCATGACTTTAAACTGACCAAAGTCCCCTCTTGAGAGAGCCTCAGACCCCCACCAGCTGGGGTGGGGTGGGTTGGCCAGCTGGCCCCTTCTCCCCTGAAGCCGAATGGTTCCTATTCTCAGCTCTCCGTCCAGGCTGCCTGGTGCCCTCCACAGCTGGCAGGGTGAGGAGTCGCCCTCCTGGTCAATGACCTCCCTCCTGCCGGCTGCTCTCCTCCCAGGTTGTCCCTTGGCTCATCCAGGCTGGGCCCAGCCTCCCTCAGAGCTGGTGGGAAGGTCACTCTGCCCTGGAGCAACCCTTCCTGACCCTTCCTGGGTCCCTCTCAGAGACTAGGGCTCCTGTTCCTGGGGACTTGGTCCGGGGGAGGCTGGGCCCTGTACTCAGGATGCCGAGAGTGTGTGGATGTGCAGAGCCCAGGACACAGGTGCAGGGGCCCTGCAGAGCAGAGGGGAACAGGGGGCCGAGGGTGGAGGGGTCAGAGTGGGAGCCGCCCTTCTGCGTCCCGCAGGCCAGCCAGTCCCGACCAGAGGATCATCTACACCGTGATGGAGTGCCAACCCCTCTTCGACTCCTGTGACATGACCATCACTGAGTGGGTTCAGATTGCCCAGATCATTGAGGTAGCCTGGGAATGTGGATGCGGCTGGGGCTGTGGGCGGGGCTGTGGAGCTGGTTGGGGGCTGCAGAGTGTGGGCGGGGCTGTGGAGCTGGTTGGGGGCTGCAGAGTGTGGGCGGGGCTGTGAGTACTGGGCGGGGCTGTGGAGATGGTTGGGGTTGCAGTGTGGGCGGGGCTGTGAGTACTGGGCGGGGCTGTGGAGCTGGTTGGGGCTGCAGCGTGTGGGAGGGACTGTGGAGTCAGGTGGGGCTAGTGGGCTGGGCAAGGCCTGCACACAGGGCCCTGGGGTCTGGCCTGGGGTCTGCGGTGGGGTCTGCAGCCTCGGGTCACACCTCCGCTGCGGGGCTCTGCCGCCCTTTCCCCCAGCACGGGGAGGGTGCGCAGTGAGGCTCGCGTCCTTCCCGGGGAGAGGAAAAGTGCCTGGACAGTGGATCTGGTTTGTTCATACCCTTGGTTTGTCCCAGGTGGTAGCCTGGGCGGGCTGTGTGATCTTCCCAGCAGCCTGACAAACTCCACACCCGGCTCTTTCCCCTCTGTCCACCCTGCGCCCACCCTGCAGCCCTGGTCTTAGTGGATTTAGGACCTATAAATGGGTGCAGAACCCTGCGAGGCGGGTGTCCTGGCTTACAGCATCGAGCATGCATGCAGCCTTTCCTGCGGCCAGAGTGCCCCCCACCAGCTGTCCTCTCTGCCCCACCCCCATCCTGAGTGACCCTGGTCCTGGCTTTCCAGGGTAGGGCCCTCCCATCCTCCAGGCCCACTGTTCACCTGCTCCCCAGAGGTTCATCATACAGGCCCCCCTCCCCTTCACTGTCAGGGTCTAGGACAATGTGTGTCGCACTGGGCCTGGTCCTTATGTCCCTGAATGGGGCCACCAGCTACCAGTGGGCATGTCTGCGGCCATTGTCGGGGGCAGTCTCCCTCCACGGGGTGTCTGAGCGCTTTGCTGAGCATGCACGACTGATGTCCTGGCTGCAGGGTCCAGCCCCCACAGGACCCAGAAAGGGCCTTTGGAGCCTGGTGGCCCTGTCTGTGGCTGAACCCTGTGTCGCCAGCAGATGGCGCCCCAGCCCGCTCTGTGGCTCAGCTCTGCAGTTCCCTGGCCAGCTTGCTGGTCTTTTAATAATGGACCCCTGGGCTCCCTAACCGGGCCCCTTGCTACCACCCGAGGCTCAGGCGTGGTGCCCTCCAGGAGGTGGTGGCTGGAGGATGCCCCTGCAGCCACCCTCACTCCTGCAGAGCTGGCCAGCATGCCTGGGAGGGCTGTGCCTGGGAGGACCCTTTCTCAGTCTGCCAGTCAGCTTCCTGCCCACCTGCCCAGGTCACCTGCCGGCTCTCAGCACAGGCTGTGCCTCCTGCCCATCGCTGTGTCTACGCCTGGCCCTCCAGGCTCAAGAGCTCGCTCCCCACGCTGCTCCTGTGCCCCGGGGCAGCTGCCACTCAGCGAGGGACTCTCTGGAGAGCTGAGCTGGGTTCTGGCTGATCCCCTACTGACCAGTGTCCTTGGGAGTCCTAACTGGGCATCGCCTGGGGGTGATACTACCAGGAAGCCTAGGGGAGACCCATGGCGCCGTGGGCTCACATTGGCGGCAGGGAAGGAGGCCCTCCTGCGGCAGGGACTCCAGGCAGCCGCTGGTCTCCAGAGAGGGCCTTCTATGACCGGGGTCCTGCTGGCGCCGACCCCCACCCCACTCTGCATCTGGGCCTTTCCGTTTCCTGGTGGTGGAGGGGCCCGGGCCCTGTTTCCAGGAGGGGGCCAGCGGCGGCGAGGGGCCGCCTGCCTGAGCGCACCCCTCCCGCAGAGACACTACGAGCAGTACCACGGCTTCGTGGTCATCCACGGCACCGACACCATGGCCTTCGCCGCCTCTGTGCTGTCCTTTGTGCTGGAGAACCTGCAGAAAACCGTCATCCTCACCGGTGCCCAGGTAACCCTGGCTGGCGGCTGAGGACCAAGGCTCTAGGCTCAGGCCTTCCTGATGCCACAGGGGCTGCTGGGGGCCCAGGCGGGTCCCAACTGCTTGCTCAGTCCTGCAGCTCCTGCCTTGGACCAAGGAGCTGGGCCTGGCAGGGGTGTAGTCATTGGGTGGGTGGGCAGGAGGCCCATTGTGAGTTCCTCCCAGTGTGGGGACCTGCAGGGGGAGCAGAGGGGATGGGGGGGCTGGGCTGGTGTCATCAGCAGGGGCTGTTCTCCTGCAGCAGGTCCCCCAGACCCCGTGCCCACCAACCCGAGCCTGCCTCAGCCCTCCTCCCTCCCAGACCCGGCTGGGGCTCCGGGCTGGGCCTCAGCTCCTGTCTGCGGCCTCTCCTAGGTGCCCATCCACGAGCTGTGGAACGACGGCCGGGAGAACCTGCTGGGGGCCCTGCTCATGGCCGGCCAGTACGTGATCCCCGAGGTACCCCTCCCCAGCGTGTGGGCGGGGTCGGGTTTCAAAGAGCTGCCCTTCACCTTGTGAGTGACACACGCACCACAGAGAAGAAATGAAAAACCAGAAAGCAGAAGGAAACAGCCGCCCCCATTTCCCTCCCGGAGAGGCCGTGCTAGCCCGAGGTTTCCTCCCCGTCACACGTGGTTCTGTTACACGTGTAGGTTTCCACGAAAACAGGTGGATCCCGCGTAGTTCCCTCGGCTTCCCTCCGAATCTTTCCGCACGTAGGACGCAGGGATCGGCTATGACCCCCCCACCCCACAGGGCAGGGGAGGGGACTTCCCAGAAGGGATCAGCCGTCTCATGCTGCCCCCCCCTGCAGGTCTGCCTGTTCTTCCAGAACCAGCTGTTTCGGGGTACCCGGGTGACCAAGGTGGACACACGCAGGTTCGCCGCCTTCTGTTCCCCCAACCTGCCGCCCTTGGCTGTCCTGGGCGCTGAGGTCACAAGTAAGCGGGTGTGATGGGGCCAGCAAGGGGCACCTCCAGGGAGCCGGGTGGGGGTGGGGGGCGCACAGCTCGGCTCTGCCCGGGCCTGGAGGAGCCAGGGGGCCGCTTGGAGAGGGTGGGCTGCCTGGGCTGTCGGGTGGGGGGCTCCTGCAGTAACCCCAGCTCGGGCCAGGGTTGATCCAGAGGAGGAGCAGGTTTGTGGTATTTGCCCTTTGTGGGTCCTCTTGGGCCATGTGGGTCCTCTTGGGCCATGTGGCCCCCAGCCCAGGGGTCCTTCTCAGTGACTGTGGCTCTGCCAGACATCTTGGTCCCTGGGACCTCTCTCTCTGTCCCCTGGGCCTGGCAGGAGGCCCAGAACTCCTTGTCTCGAGCAGTTCATGGGTCCTGAGACTCTCCCAGGGGGGTATCCCCACCCCTTGCTTTGGGCGTGGGAGCTGCTTCCAACTAGGCTTCTGGGCCCCGAGCTCTGTCCTTGTCTACTAAGGGCCACCTTCATGGTCCAGGGAGAGTCCCCGATATCTGCCCTCCTGTGGGGTCTCCCACTCCCTCGGGGCCCGAGGCGGGCATGGCCAGCTCCAAGTCCCACCCAGCCCCCGACAGCCCCTCCGGGACAGGCGGAAGCATCCGCATGCTTCTGTGACACGTGGGTTTCTCCAGGGGCCTCGCCATCCACCAGGCCCCGGTGTGTAAAACAACCTTAAGCCTGACCTGTCCCTTCACTTCCTGACAGAGCCAGAGGCCCTGGAGCACCTGTCCCCAGCCCCACCCTCCCCCAGCGGTGGGTCCCTGGGCAGGGCCCAGGGCAGGGGGTGCCAGGCCTGGCTGAGCCAGTCTTCTTGTGGGGGAGTTTGGGGCCTGGACCCTGGCTCGGGGGGGACTGCGTGTGTGGGATGCACAGGGCCCCGATGGCTCTCTGGCTGGACTCCTGACTGGAGGGTCCAGCCCTCCGAACGGCAGAGGCGCTGCTGGCCCACACGGGCCTCTGCCTGGGCCGAGGGGAGCCTGCAGGGGACTGGAGGGGCAGCGCCCCGAGCCTGGCCAGGGAAGAACCCCTGGAGGACTCAGGTTTAGCTGGTGAAGGCGTGGGCTGGTCACGTGACCCTGGAAGTCCCCAGAGCCCTTGGGTCTCAAGTCAGGACATGGCTGTGGGATCAGGCACAGGGAAGGGCAGGCCCTGCTGGCTGCCTGGGTCCCTCTGCCAGGCAGTCGGTCCTGGGCCCCAGGAAGCCAGGGCAGGAGACCCCATGGTGGGAAACCGAGGTGGAGGGGGCAGGGCCACACAGGGAGGCACTGGCTTGGCCCTGAGCACTGATGCCCGTTCCTGTGCTCGGACCCTACACTCCCAGCCCCAGTCCACCCAGCCTGTTCCCCTGAGTGTCTTCCAAGGGGCGAGGCCCAGAACACTTCAGGGCACCTCTTATGTGTGCAGCATGCCTAGGTCTCGGGGGCCAGGTGAGGGTCCTCCTGCTTGCTGAGGACTGGAGCAGTCCAGGAGGCTTCCTGGAGGCGGCGGCACATATGCTGGTGCTCTCCTGCCCATGCTGGGTGGTGGGGCTCAGCCCCTCCTGCCCTGTGTGGGCCACCCCAGGCCACCTGAGGAAGGAAGGCTCGGGGTAAGGTCCTCCCCCGTGATGACAGAGTCATGACTTATCTGGAGCTCAGGAGTGGGGCCTCCGGGGCTGAAGCCCGCTGGCAGGTGTGGAGGCGTTTGCAGGATCCGGGGGCCCCTGGCTGTGCCTCGCCAAGCCCGGGCAGGCCACGGGCACCTGCTCTGCCAGGCCCAGCAGCTTGGCTGGTGCAGAGCTGAGGCTGGCCCGAGGGAAGAGGCCCCCTCGGCCCCTAGGCTCCTGATCCCCTGACTGCTTCCCACTGGCTGGGGTGCCGCGCGGGTGTGAGAACCCGGCCCCGCCCGCCCAGGCCTGTCCGGTTTGGCAGCTGGTGCTGAGAAACAAGGAGCTGTGCCCAGACCCAGGGTGTGGCTGTTGGGCCCCTGGGCTATCAGGGTGTAAGCAAGGCAGCCGGAGGGTGATACCACCAGCTGAGCTCCCTCTCGGGGGATTCTGTGTCCTCACTGCCCTCTGGAGGCCTCCGCAGAGGAAGGGCACGGGGCTGGGGATGCAGCACTGAGCCCTGCAGGAGGCCGCGCTGGTGCGGGCGGGGCCTGGCCCTACCCCCCCACCCGCCCCGTGGCTCAGGCTCCTGCGCCCCACCCCAGGCCTCCAGGAGCCCTCGTCCTCTCTTGGAAAGCCCTGGCCTCAAGCTCCTGCTCCAGTCCCTCCTCCCTTTGGCCTCTGGTCATGGGACAGCCAGCCCCTGGATGGGCGGAGGTCCTGGGTTCCATGGCTCTCGGGGTGGGCCATCTGTGGGGGGCGTGGGTCCTCTTCGTTTCTGTAAACCTTCTGTCGCCATAACTCCCCCGTGGGGTCAGCCGGGGCTGTCTTTTCTGCTTGCCCAGCTGGGGCAGAGGGACCCAAGTCAAAGGAGGCCTGACGGATGCCCCAGCCCCGGTCTCCTGGCCTCAGCCTGGCCAGCTCCTCCCTGCTGCCCACCCCAGGGCCCCGCCCCTCCGACTCCTCTGAGAGAGCAGCCTGTCTGGGATGCTTCTCAGTTTATTATCACGTGTGAACTGCTCTGGCAGGTCCAGCAGGGGGCAAGCAGGCTTCCCCGCCCCAGGGTGCGGGTGGAGGCAGCCTGGGTGGAGACCAGGAACCCGCCCCTCCTGCCTCTGGGCCTGACTCTCTGGGCTACCCCTGGCAAGCCCCTCCCCTCTCTAGGCCTCCGTCTCCCTGGGCAGGACCAGGTCTCTACGGCACCTTGGATAGGCTCTGACAGTGGGCGGTGCCGGTGGGTCGCCGATCTCTGCCTCTGCCCATCCAGGCTGCCCAGGGGCTGAGGTGGGCCTGGTGCTGGGCACTGGGCTCCTGTGGGTCACAGGCCAGACCTGCTGCCCAGCCCCCCATGCTCCACCCGAGCCGAGTCCTGGAGGTGCAGCAGCCTTCCAGTTATGGAGAGACTGAGCTACTGGGGAGCCCCTCTGCACAGCGAGCTCAAGGGGCACTGACCCCCTCCATCCACAGTGCTGGGACCCACCATTACCCACCCTGGTGTGGAGAACAGGGCACACATTAGGCCTCTGAGACTTTGGGGTGAATCAGATGGAGACTTTCTTTCCCCAAAGGTGAGGGGGTTCAGAGACTCATTCACTCACTCACTCACTCACTCACTGACCCACTTGGCTGCAGCATGGTAGGTGCCCAGGAAGGGGCAGGTGAGGCCGAGTGTTGAGAATGCACCCCGACTTCTCCTGGGGTCCAGCACCGCAAGCTGCGTGGGACCCTGCCGCTGCGCCCCATCTCGTGTGCTTCCTGTGTGTGCGCTGCTCCCCCTGCCTCGAGGGTGTGAGCTCCGGGGTCCTTCTGGCCCCCAAGTGCCCTGCTGCCCATAGAGCCCGGCACAGCCAGAGCATCCGTGGGCCCGGCGCATGGGCGAAGGCTCGTCCAAGCTCTGAGAACACCAGAGGGAGCCAGGCAGCATGGAGGGGCTGGAGGGCTGCTGGGCTGGGGCTGGGCCCGAGGTGGCTCACGGTCCCGCACGGCCCCTCTGTCCTCAGTCAACCGGGAGCTGGTGCGGAAGGTCCGAGCGGAGGGCCCGCTGGTGGTGCACCGCAGCATGGAGCATGACGTGGGCTTGCTGCGCCTCTACCCTGGGATCCAGGCCACCCTGGTAGGGCCCCCTCCCGGCCCCCCACCCGTGGGCCCTCTGCAGCTCCCATGCCCCCCATGGCTCCCCAGTGCCTGCACCACCTGGCTCTGCCCCGCCTGCCTCCCCATCCCGTCCCCTTCTGCACGCCCCTTCCTATCTCCCCGAGGCCGGCCTCAGGCCCAGGCACACGGAGAATAACTGCGTAGCACCCTTTGTGCCTGTAACCTGCGTGTGTCATGGGGTGGGGGGACCTGCACCCTTCCCCCTCCTTCCCCGAGGCTTTGGGGCCCAATCTCACCTTTCCTGTGATGTGGGCTTTGGAACTGGACCTCTGCGTGTGTTTAGCTGCAAGGCTTTTCCCCAAATACTGGCTGCTTGGAGCACCCCCTGTATGCCAGCGGGAAGGATGGGGGGCAGCCCACTCCCCACGCCTCCTCTGACCCGTCTCCACGGTGTTCTGTTCTCTCCTCGCCAGCCAGGGCCTCGAACACTTGAAAGGGATGGGGGTCCCTCTCAGGGCTCCCACGCTGCCCTGCGCACGGCCCCCCAGGGAGCGGCAGGACAGCCCGTTGGTCCATTGCTGGGGCGGGGAGCAAGGGCCCTCACCATCCCCTCCCGGCCCCCCAGGTCCGGGCCTTCCTGCAGCCTCCCCTGAAGGGCGTGGTCATGGAGACCTTCGGCTCTGGGAATGGGCCCACCAAGGCTGACCTGCTGCGGGAGCTGCAGGAGGCAGCAGAGCGAGGCCTCCTCATCCTCAACTGCACCCACTGTCTGCGGGGCACTGTGACCTCGGACTACGCGTCCAGCATGGTGGGCGGGGAAGGGACGCCTGGGCGGGGAGGGGACGGCTGAGGGCACAGGGCGAGCCAGGCTGAGACCCCGCACCCCATTTATGGCTGTGCCCCTCCCCGCAGGCCACAGCCGGAGCCGGCATCGTCCCAGGCTTCGACATGATGTCCGAGGCTGCCCTGGCCAAGCTGTCCTTTGTGCTGGGCCAGCCTGGGCTGAGCCTGGATGACAGGAAGGAGGTGCGCGACCCCCAGGCTGTGGGCACAGGCTCGGGCCACGTGTCAGTGGGATCCTGGGGGCCGCGCTGGGGGTGTGACACCGGCCGGCAGTGGGGCCAGTCCGGGGTGGGTGCCTGGGTTTGGGAAGGGGGCAGGGATACGGGCCTCCCTGTGGTTCAAAGGTCCGCTCAGGCCCAGGCTCCGGCACCCTTTGCTGACCCTGGTCCTTTTACCTTTTGGGGAGCCTCAGGTCTGGCACTCCCTGGGTTCCCCAATCTGCTCCCAGATTGCCTCTCTTTCCCCACAATCCCAGGCAGGCCTCAGATACAGTCAGTCCTAGGCCCTCTGGTTGGCAGAGGCCACGGGGACCCTGGGGACCCTGAGCCAGTAGGGATCAGGGTAGGGCTAGCCTGCGGGACCTGGTCTGGACCACGCTCAGGCCTGAAGGATGGAGCCTCCGCCCAGTGGCCTGGCCGATGCAGGTCTGGGCGGCCAGTCAGGACCCTGCTCTCCTGTGCTCCTCCCCCAGCTGCTGGTCAGGGACCTTCGGGGCGAGATGACGCTGCCCCGGGCCGAGGAGCGCCGGCCCTCCCGTCAGAGCGGCACTCTGGGACTCCGGGTGGCCCAGCTCCTCAGCCTGCGCCAGGTACTTCCCAGTGGGCGGGTCCCGAGGGTGTGCCAGGTGCCCACCACGGCCATTGTCATTCCAGGGCACCAGCAGGAAACCACCGGGTGTGGCTGGGTTCCGGGCTGGTCCACCTGGTTCTGGGTTCAGGGCCTCACTGGGAGGGTTTGTGGGGGTTCATGGAGCAGGGTGTGAGGAGGGGCCAGGGCAGTCTAGGGGAGCCTTTGAAGCCCGTCAGTGGTGGCCCGAACATGGCTGGTCACGCAGAGGGGCACCAGGGGCCGTGCCAGGCTGGCCATTAGCACTGGCCCTGGCCCTGGCTGCAGGCTGCCTCATGAGGGGGGGAGCACCCGGGTCTTGGTGCTGGAAGGAAGGGCCACCTGTTCAGGGGTCTCCCATCTCTGAGCACGGGGGTTGCATGGGGTGAGCGCCCCGGCCCCTCGGCCTCGCCAGCCTCGAGCTCCTGCTCCCCTTCTCCGTCAGGCCGCTGGACCCAGGAGGGCAGAGGAGTCCAGGCCGTGCCGCGGGGTCTAGGGTGGGGGTTCAGGCGGGATGAGGCCTGCAGGGGAGATTAGTCCCCCAGCACCCCAGCACCCCATCACACACCCAACTGGCCTCTGGATGAGGTGTCCAGCCCGGCACGGGAGCCGACAGGTGACAGACAGCACTGTGCCCAGGGCTGCCCTGGGTCACACCCCGTGCCTCAGTTTCCCCTCGGCACCGCCGCCGTGGGACAGACCTGTCGTGGGGAGCTTTGTGATGTTAGCTACGGCTCGCTGGGGCGGGGGTCAGATGAGAGACCAGGATGTGCGTGGCCTGTTATTAGGGTGACTGTGGGCGGCAGCTTTGTAATCCGGCCCGGTCGTGGGTGTGGGGCTGCCACGGGGCCTCTGCTGGGACCCCTGGCCTTCATGGGAGCTCCTAGAGGGCCCTCACGTTCCCGGCGCTGGGGGGACTTTGGAAACGTGTGGGGTAGGCTTCTTCCCAGGGAGGGGTCTGACACTCCATGCTCCCCAAGCCAGTGCCTTGTGGCAGTTATGTCCCTGCACCCTTGGAGGTGGTACAGGCACCAAGAAATGGGTCTCAGAGGCAGGTGGCAAGCCCTGATCACAGCTCGTGAGGACAGCCAGATGGTGGCCTCATGACCTGGGCTTTGCTCCCGAGGGTGTGCTGTGAACCCCCGAGAAAGGCATGGTCTGAGGTGCTGCCACCCCCACCCAGGAGACGGATGCTGTTCGAGACGCCCTGACACCCAGCCTGGCCTGTGCCGCGGCCCATGCCGGGGACCTGGAGGCCCTGCAGACCCTTGCAGAGCTGGTGAGTCCCCTAGACCCCTTGGGGACCAGCCTCAGCTATTCCAGGCTCATGGGGGGACAGGAAGGTCTTTCCCTGGGGCCTAATGCCCCCGTGCCTTGGTCCACCAGGCTGGGCAGCCAGCTTGGGGCCTCACTGCAGCTAAGGGGGCACAGTGGCCGTGCCGAGCCCCACCTCAGGGTGCACCCCACCCTCTCTGTCCCTTCCCTGTGGTCCACCTGACCCTGCCCAGCCCTTCCTCAGTGGGGGACGTGTCCCTGTGTCACACCAGGGCGGGGACCTGAGCCTGCAGGACTTCAGTGGTCAAACTCCGCTGCACGTGGCCGCTCGGAGGGGCCACGCTGGGGTGGTCACCCTGCTCCTGCAGAGAGGGGTGGACGTGAACTCCCGAGACGAGGACGGCCTCAGCTCACTGCTGCTGGCCGTGAGGGGCAGGTACGGGGCGCTGTGGTGGACATTTGGGCAGGGGCAACGCGGGGTGGGCCTGATGGAGCTGCCCGGAGGGCGGTGGGTTTGCCGTCTGTGGTCACACAGCTTCCGGGGCAAAGCTGGGTGGGGCCTCGGACACCTGCCTCCTAGCACCTTGCCCACCCCCGCCTGGGGAGGGCTGTCTGGAGGGGGCGACCTTCCAGCTGGGCCCAGAAAGATCCCAGGGAAAAAGAGAAGAAACAAACAAACATGTCTAAGGGATCTCATGTTTGCTCCCAAATCGTCTTGGACACCTGTGGGCTGGGGTGGGGAGAGGGAGCCCTCGCTCCGCTCGGCTGGGCAGGGGTCAAGCAGGCTGCACAGTGCAGACCTGGGCTGGGCACGGGTGCCTGGGGGACAGCCCAGCCTGCACAATAGTGGGAGGAGGTCCTCCAAGTTGCCTCCACCTTCTGCTTCTTAAAGGCAAGGTCTCAGCCTGAGGTGTGTTTGGGGGTGTCCAGTGGGGTCTGCCGAGCTGAGGTCTCCTGAGGGAGGGGCAGAGGACACTGGGTCAAGGTGTGTCCTGCCCTGCAGCCGGGCTGGAGGCTGTGGTCACTCAGAGGCCTCTGCTGGGGCTTCTTGATGCGCATGCAGATGTCGGGGGGCTGCACCTTGCGGGGGGCTGTGAGGATCAGTGCTGAAATAGAACATGCACAAGCTGGTGGTCACCAACCGGAGCTGCCCAGCTCTGACTCTCCCCTGCGGTTGGCCGGCGGGAGGGGGCCGGGGACCTGGGCGTGGGGACCTGAGGCCGGTGTGCCCATCTCCTTGGCCCCCCCAGGCCCTGGCATCTCTGACGGACAGTCCAAACTTGGGGAGGGAGTGGCCACAAGGTGGACAGAGCGTTTGTGGACTGGGGCCCACGCTCTAGTCGCTCCCGGCTCGGAACTTGCTGAGAAGGCTTCTGGGTGGGGCGGGGCCCCGCCCCATGGCCTGTGCGTGTGTGCGTGCACGTGTGGACACGTGCGTCGGGGGCGGGGCCCACGCTTGGCTCCTCGTGCTCGGGAAGTCCTCCTGCCCCCACAGGCAGCCAGTCCTGCACAGGGTCTGCAGCAGCCCCCGCCCTCCCCTCAGCAGTTCCCTGGGCGGTGGGGTGGGAACCAGGCTGCGGGATCCGGGTTAGCTTGGGGGGTGCTCACCAGTGACCTGGTGAGGGGCGCAGATGTTTGTGCCTGGACCACCTGACTGTCAGGGTCAAGCCCTAGGTGCCCTCCTCTGCTGTGAACCCCGGGGTGGGGAGCATCGTCCTTGGTGAAAGGGTGATGGAGTCACACCCTCCTTCCCAGGCTCCTGTGAGCACAGGGGTCCTCAGAACAGGCCTAGCGGTGGGTGGAGGGTGAGGGGCTATTTGGGTGTACCCCGCCTCCGGGGGATCTGGCTGGAGATTGCAGGCTGTGCGTCCTGGGGCGTGGGCTGGTAGCACCATGAGCTCACCCCACCGCGTCCCACCCCTCACCCCCGCCCGGCTGTCTCAACACCCCCCAAACCGGTCTCCCAGCCTCATCCCCTACCCAGCCTGCTGTGCCCTGGAATGGCGCGGGAGGGGCCACCCACCAGAAGGGCTCTCGTGCAGTGGGGTGGGGAGCAAGGCCTGGGGCCCCACCCGCCTCCCCAGCCTCCCGAAAGGTGAGGTGACCATGGGATTTATGGTCTACCCTGACACTGTGTGGGATGCGGTTGGTTAGTGGGCATGTGGCCAGTGTCTTCGTCCCCCACTGCAGCTGGCAGTTCGGACTTGGCCTTGCTGAACCCCACCCCCACCTCACCTCCCCAACGGCCCACTCGCCCCAGCTGGCTCAGGTGGTGCGGTCTCCGGACCCCTGCAGACTTCCGGGCCCCGCTCTGTGCCAGCCTGGCCCCTGTCCCCCGTGTCTCATCCCCTCCCCACCCCCACGGGCAGAGCTGGGCCCAGTTGACTTGGGCTCCCCAGGCCCACCCACCAGGGTGGGTGTGCAGGGGGACTGGGCAGCTCGGTGTGGAGGCTGTCCTCTAAAGCGGGCTGTCCCCAGCTACTCACAGAAGTGCTGCAGCCCCCATGATAGGCCGGGGACACCTGGGGGGCGGACGGAGAGCCTCTCAGCCAGGGCTGACTGACAGCCCAGCCCTGTGGAACCAGGATGCCCTGGACAGGGGGGCATGGGCCTGGTCTGGGCAGGCGGGCTCCTGGCCCCGGGCACAGGCTCTGAGGCCCTGCAGGGTCTGAGCAGAGGCTGCCAGGCCGACGGTCAGTGTGCCCTTCCCCACGGCAGGCATCGGAGTGTCATTGGGCTCCTGCGGGCAGCCGGGGCCTGCCTGTCGGCCCAGGAGCTGGAGGATGCTGGGACGGAGCTGTGCAGGTGAGACCACAGCATGTCTCCTTTCTGGGGACACGGGCTGGGGCTCCAGGAGGGGACGCCAGGCCTGCAGGGAGGGGTGGTTGGCTGGGGTGGGGCTTCAAAGGCGTGGCAGCCTGTCCCAGCACGACGGACCTCACAGTTGCCCTGAGTGACCACCACGGCCGGCCTAGGGAGACAGGCACAGGGAGGTGTGGGCCCTATTGGGCTGGGTGGAGAGCATCCCCTGGGACCCCTTCCCTTGGGGCCGCTGACGCCCACCAGCAGCTCCTGTGTCCACCTGGGCTGCCGCAGGCGGGTCTGAGGCGGTGCAGGGTGGAGGGCGGAGGAAGGAGCGGAGGTGGCCGTGGAGAAGGCGGGAGGCAGAGGCCTGTGCGGTGCAGCGGGGTTGGGGTGCTGGGAGTGGCTGGGGTGTGCGTCCCTGAAACTCAGAGCCCCCAGGCCCGGGGAGCAGGTGAGGACAGGGATCTCAGCGTGGCTGGCTGGCTGGGAGCGAGGAGGCTGAGCTACCCGCTCACAGGAAGAGCGAGCTCTGCCCCTCGCCCCCCACCCACGGCTCGTGCCAGCAAAGCCTCCCTGGGCTCCCTGGGGCCCGCGTGGGGTGGGTCAGAGAGACCCCACCGGCCCCGCCTCTCCCCCAGCCCTGGTCTTCAGTCCCTGGGGGTCAAATCCTGCGACTAACCTGCCCCCTGCCCACTGTTCTCAGGGTGAGGTGGGCTTGCAGATGTGAGGGGGTGGGGCCCGGGAGGGAGGGGCTGGGGCTGAACCTGGGGCCTGCCCACAGCCACTGGTTCAGGGCTTCACCCCAGGTGGGCCTTGTTGGCTTCACTGACAGGTGGGGAAACTGGGTCAGCTGGGTCCCATGGGAGCTTTTTGGTTGGATTTGGGGGGCCCTGGGCCAACCCTTCCCAGGGTCTAGTGGGGAGGCAGGAGTCTGGGGGGTCCTTCAGGGACGGGTGGTGCCTTTCAGTGCGATGTACCCCAGAAATTAGCCAGTGCCACCTTGGGGACTGCTGTTCCTGACAAGGAATGGGGTCACTAGGGCCGCTTTGGGGGCAGCTTCTCTCCCCCAGCCAGCACACCTAGCGTGGGCCCCTCCCCTGCCAGTTCCCAGAGCCAGGGCGGGCTCCTCCGACGGGGGGGAGGAGGACCCTGGTAAGTGCCCGGGAGGGGCTCTTTGCCCGCTGCAAACTTCTTGTCCAGGGCATGAGGGCCCAGACCCCTCTCCCGGCCAGGACCCCCCCATGCCGCTGGCTGGGCTCTCCCCACCCCCGCCCTCTTTGAACCTGGGGCCTGCCTCAGACTTTCATGGGCCTCTGGGGCCCCGCCCAGGGAGAGCCTGTTGTGAAATGTGAAACTGGCACGCAGCTCTCCGCAGGCGGGCGTGTGCGAGCGCCTGTGCACGCCCATGTGTGCATGCTTGTGCGTGTGTGTGTGCGCACCCTGGACCCGAGTCGGTCACCCCCACTGGGTGAGCCAGATCTGGGCTGCCCCACTCCTGACTCCTGCCCCAGGGCCCAGCGCTGCTGGGTCAGCTGTTTGTGGCTGGCTTTGTAGAGACACAGCGGGCACCCCGGCAGGCAGGTGGGCAGCGGGCCTGGGCCAGCGCGCAGCAGGCTGATGGCTCCCCTCCTTGGCTCCCCTCCCAGGCTGGCCTCCAAGGCGGACGGCGAAGGTCTGCGGGCGTGGTGGCAGGCGGGGGCCGACCTGGGGCAGCCGGGCTATGACGGGCGCAGTGCCCTGCTCGTTGTGAGTGCCACTAGTGCTCCAAGGCCACTGCCCCCTCCTCCAGGAAGGCCTCCCTGACAGCCTCTGCCCCTCCGGCAAATGCCCGTACTCCTCTGGTGAACACACTTCACGTTTGGGGCCGAGGTGGGGGTAATGTTCTTCTAGTCCCCAGAGATGTGGGGATGCGAGTGGAGACATGGGGTTCTGTGTGTTTGGGCGGGAGGAGCCAGGAGGGTCTCCTGGGTTGAGGAAGTTTGGGTAGTGGCCAGGTTGCTGGTCAGTAACTTCCCGACGCCTCCCGCAGGCAGAAGCGGCTGGGGACCTAGAAGTGGTGACTCTTCTGCAGAGTCTCCAGGGTGGGGCTGATGTCCTGGCCCCAGGTCCGGTAAGTGCCCCCAGGCAGGGCTGATGTCCTGGCCCCATGTCCGGTAGGTGCCCCCAGGCAGGGCTGGCTGCTCCCAGTCCTATGGCTAGACCCCAGCTTGGGTCAGATCCCCCACTGTGGGCGGGCGCACACTGTGAAGGTGCTGGAGGGAGATGGAGCAGTCAGGGAGGGCTTCCTGAAGGAAGGGCCACCTCAGACTTACTGGATTCTGTCCTGTCAGCTGCCCCTTGACACACCCTACCACAGTACTGGAAGGCTCCAGCCACAGGCAAAAGGTCCTTGAGCCTGGAGGGTGCTCAGATGCCTGTGCAACCTGCCCACCCTGACCCACCTACCCCAGGACTCACCAGGCTGGGTGCCCCTTCTGCTTCCCAGGCTGTGCTGGCCAGACCGCAGCTGACAGCCCCACCCTCACTCCACCCTCCGGCCCTCTGGAGGGTTCTCGAGGCTGGCTGGATGTGTTAGGTCTCTGGGTTCCTCACCAGTGAAAGGCTGGGTCCCACTTCAGTGCCTGGGCTTGTCGGTCCACCTTGGGCCTCAGGAGACCTCTTGTTTCAGGAAGTGCTGCCTGTTGTCTAACCTGAAGCTGTCTTGCTGCGACATCAGCCATTTCTTCCTGCTTGTGACCTGCTAGACTCAGCTAGAGGGATCGCAGGCACCCCACCCCCATGGCTCTGACTGAGATGTGTCCCTGCTGTGGGGACTGCTTTCCTTCTGTTTCCAAGATGCAGCCTCAATGCCATTGTCGGGCAGAGTGACAATAAAATCTCTCAGGGAACTCTCCCTCCCTTGGTCCCCAAAGCCTTGCTCCAGTGGGTCTGCGGGGTCCCAGCGCTGTGGGCATGTGTGTGGGGAGTCTGGCCCAGGCTCTGCTTGAAAGGGCGGTGACCTCAGCACCCTGGGGGTGAAGGACACCCAGCCACCCTGTCCCCAGGCAGCATGAGTGTGTGAGCCAGACCCTACGAGGGAAGCCAAGATGTCCCCCTTCCCCCACCGCCCTGTCTCCCTGCCTGCTTGGGCTGGTCCCTCCTCCACACAACCTCTGCCCCATCTCCTCTGTCCGAATCCTTCTCATTCTTAAAGCTTGAAGTCACCTCCTCCAGGCAGCCCCCCACCCACACCGGCTCTGGTGTAGCGCTCCTGGCAAGGACCCTCTCTCAGGTCCTCACGGGCTCTCCCGGCTGCTGCCTGGTTTTCACAGGGGTCTCTGCAGCATGCCCCCCTTCAGCAGGGTTCCTTCTGGCCCCAGTCTGCCCGGACGCCCTGACCCACTCTCCATTTCCAGCCAGGCGGGTCCAGGCCACCTGCCCAGTGCCGTGTGCGTGGGAGGCTGGGGGCGGGCCCTGCCTGGGCGGTGTGAGATGGGCGGGGCAGGCCGGCCTGGAGGTGGGTGTGGTCTCCAAGGCCAGTGGGCGGCTCCAGGCTGTCAGAGCCCCAGCTGGGACTGAAGTCAGGTGTTTGTTCCCCTAGCCAGTTCTCTGCCAACTGCAAGCAGTCCAGGGTGGCAAGGGCATACCCCCGGCTAGGACCCACCACGTGACGCTTGGCCTCCCTGCCCCCACCTCCCCTGAACCATTTTTGTGGGGGCTGCCTCCTTCCAGGTCCCCCAGAACTTTGGCACCTCTTTAACTGCCCATATGAAGATTCTCATCTGTCTGTCCATCTGTCCATCTGCCCCTTGGGCTGAGGGCCTGTGCCCTGTAGATTTTGGGCAAAAGCGTGAACCCAGACCTTGCCCTCAGCACCCACCACGCAGCTGGGGCCTCTCTCCCAAGTGGGCTGGGTGGGGGGGCGGGACCACCCACCCCTCGAGGCTTCTCAGCTTGGTTCCCAGGCCTGGCTGGCAGCCTTCCAGATTCGCACCCAGTCTCGGGTGTGCTGCGGCCTTGCACAGCCAGAGACACTGTGTGGCATGGTGGGTCTCGGGAGCCTTCGCCCCACACCTGAGGAGTGGGGTGGGGCATGGTGGGAGGCAGGAGGGGCTCGAGAGCCAGGAGGGGTGCGGGGACAGTCTGACAAATGCCCAGTGGAGGCCCACCGCGGAGCACCCCATGTCCTCGCTGGGGCTCACACACAGCAGCTCACCCTGTGCCCCTGGAGGGACGGGGACACCACCGCTCACTCTGCAGTTAGCTGGGCTCCCAGTCCCCCGGAGCCTGGGTTGTGAAAGCCGCTCCTATCACCCCACAAGGCACTGCCCTCCCCGAGCAGGTGCCAGCTTGCCAGCACAGAGCCCTGTATCCTGGGATGGTACCCTGCCAGCCGAGAGACGCCCACTGCACCCTGCGTGTCCCACGGAGGAAATAGTGCTGAGCTGGACTTACTCCAAGTGGGTCACTGACGGCAGGGGCGGCTCCTGCCAGTGGGCAGATTCAGGGTGCTCTCACCGGGGCTGGGCAGCCGACCCCTGTTCTCGAGCCCTTCCACACAGGGGTGCGGAGCCCTGCGGGCGAGCAGCTCCTGCACGGGGCACAGGTCTCAGAAAGCTCTGGGAAGTCCCTCAGGGCCATTTTGTGTGCCTGGGGTGAGGGCAGCTTTTCTGAGTCACGGAGTAGCCACAGGGGACGAGGCTGGCACTCGGCTCTGAGGACACTATGTCAGGCGGAAGAGCCCCACAGATGACAATGCCACGTGTAGCTTATTGTGTCCCGTGTGCCCCTGGGGGTCCCTGGCTCATCCCCCTTGACAGCAGAGGAGAGGAAGGCCAGTCTGAGCCCAGGATTCCACGCTGCACATGGCGGGCCTGGCGATGAGCACCTGGCACCGGTCGGGCAGCCTCCTCACCTCTTGAAGGCGGTGTCCCCAGAAGACATGGTGGCGTGAGACAAGGGGGCGAGGCTTGGCAGGGGAGCGCCGGGCAAACGTGGGAGGCAGCCTAGGCCCCTCAGGGTCTCCGAGGGACCCGACTCCCCCACAGGCTCACACCCAGTAATTTCGCTCTGGGTAGGGCTTTGGTTCATCTTGAATCACTGAGATCCCAGGGTTATCTCTGGGAAATCTCTCTCTCACCTAGGCCGTTATTACGTTTACCCAGTGTTTTCCATCATAAAATCAGGCTTCTCAGTCAGGCCCTGCCCCCAGGGCCACCCCACCCCAGCTACAGATGTCTCCTTCACACCAGGTAGTTCCCTCTCTGGTCACACCTCAATACCTCCTGCTGCAAGTAGTTGTCACACTTCCCTCTCACCAGGCCCCTCTGGTGCTGGGGATAGTGCCTAGGGAGGGATCTGCCTTGGACTGCGCTGTACCGGGGCTAAGAATTGGGGACAGAAGAAGGGGTTCTTCTGGCCCGTGAGGTGGTGGTGAGGAGAATTTTCCAAGCTCCTCTTGGTCACACAGCTCTGTGACCATCACACACTCCCGCCCCTGCCCCAGCACCGGACCCCACACACAGCTAGCTGCTCAGGCCAGTGGACCAGGGTATGGAGGCACCGCTCCACCACCGGCCCTGGGAAACCTCCAGGAAGTCACTGCCCCTCTCAGAGCCTCAGTTTCCCCAATGTGTAGGCCCTGGACTTAGGTGAATAATGATGACCCTCCAGGCCACCCCATCCCATGCAGCCAACCAGTGGTTCAAGAGGTGGGCTGAGGACTTCAGGGACCACCTCCCTCCAAACTTTCTCTCTCCTGATGTTTGAACCCCCAACCCCCACTGGCCCCATGTGCCTGCTCCGGGACAGTTCCGGGGGGCTCTACTCCCCCCTTAGCCCCAACATCTCCCGGTGGCCAGGTCAGAGGGCATGGGGCAGGGAGTGGGCTATTGCCCAGTGTGTGTGTGTGGGGGGGGGGTCAGGGCTGGGGCCCCCATAGGGGTTAAGGGGGCAGGATGGGGCTCCCAGTGTGGGTCCTGAGTTGGGGGCCCGGCTGGCCGCCCTACCCCCTGGGAAGCCAGTGGGTGGGAGACCTGGAACCTGCTGGGCACGTTCTCTCCCAGCCTCTAGTTTCACTTTCTCTTTGTCCCCCCTCCCTCCCTCCCACGAAGTTTCCTCTGAAGTGAGCGGGGCAGGGACCGGCAGTGCCGCCCAGGCCCTCACCCCGGCCACAGACGGAGTGTTCCCCAGCCCGGGCCTCCCTGGGCACCAGCTCGGCCTGTGCCACGCCCCCACCCCCCGCAGCGAGCCTGGGCGCCCAGGTCCCAGGACAGACAGTCCGGGCGTGGCCCCCAGACCAGGAGCGAGACCCTGGGGACGCCAGGTGCGCCGGGCGGGGCACGAGCTTGTGAGTCAGGACCACCCCCGCACGGGCGCGCCCGGCAGGTACCCGGCCGCGGACGACCCGCCGCACGACCCACCGGCCCGGAGCCGCCCGGCCCGGAAGAACCGGTCGGGCCGGCGCTGCGCTGGCGCATTCCGGCGGCGGGGGAGGCGGCCTCTGGCTTTAAAAGGCGCCGCGGCGCTGGCCGCAGCCGAGCCGACGCACCGCTGGCCACGCGGACGGCGGGCATGGAGACGCGCGGCGGGACGTCGGGGATCACGGGGCTCGGCGGGCGCGGCTCCGGGTCGCGGCGTCCGGGGCCGTCGGGGGGCGCGCGGCCTGCGGCGGGCGGCGGGGCGCCAGGCGGGGCCACCGGGCGGCGGGCCTCTCTCCACAGCGCGGCGGACCGAGGGCTCGCGCGCCGGGTCCAGTGGTTCTTAACAGTTCAACAGTTCTGTAGCGCAATTGTGAAATGTTTAGGACCACTAGACCCGGCGGGCCTGACAGCGGCGGGACAGCGTCAGCGACACCGACGGGGCGGCCCACGCGCGGCCCCCGCTCAGGGTCAGGGTCCGGGCCGCGCCGGGGTCCGCCTGGGAGGAGCCCACTGACCCGGGTCCGCGCACCTCGGTCCCCCGGGCTCTGTGGTGGCGCCGGCGGACCCGGCCCCGGGGTCGAGGAGCGCGCGCTGCCCAGAGGTGGTCGGACTTGGCGGTGCGGAGCGCTGGGGAGCGCTGGGGACCGCAGGGGCTCGGAGGGGACCGCTGGGAACCGCCTGGTGCGGGTGGCCATCCCCACCCCCACGCTCCTGGCGAACTGCCGGTCTGGAGGCGCCACCGCCGCCCTCCTGCGCCCAGAGGGCCCCACCCTTCTCGAAACTCCGCAGAATTCCCAG